TTGCCCATTGATAGTTAGAGAGAGAGAGAGAGAGAGAGAGAGGGAATGAATTAATCTTTTCCCTACTGAGAAAGCAGAGATGCAGGAGATAAACAGATCACTTTCCAAACATTGATGATTAACCAGGCTGGGGGTGTCTGAGCCTCAGCAGAGGAGGCCCTTACTCCGCTCCAAGCCTCCTCCACCCCTCACCCCCAATCTGAACCCCGCCACAGCACGGCAGGCTGGGCAGGGACCACATGGACACTAGCTTTCTGCACCACCCAGCATGGGTGTGAGAAGGCCTGGCTGCTTCTAGGAGTGGAGAGAAGGTGGGCGGGAGGGAGAGGGGGAGGAAGGGATGTCTCACACAGCAAGATGCACATGACAGCCGGGACAGTTTATGAGTATTTGCTACGGACCAGCCTGCTCTTCCTCTGGGAGTCACTGTCTAGTTCCGGGACAGACACTTGGGAGAGCGTTTAATGATCTCTGGGGTGAGTGTGTGTCCAGAGAATCGCTGGAGCTGTGGAGAGCCAGAAGGAGGGGCTGCAGAGCCCTGGGGTGGGGGGACAAGGGCGGGCCTGGAAATGCAGACCCACCTCCAGGAAGGCAGTATCTGAAGGACAGGCTGGGAACTGGGAAGTGAAGGAGGCACATTTCGAGGAGTGGGACCAGCCTGGACAGAAACCTGGTGGTGTCAGCCTCCTGTGTTCAGGAACTAGGCCGGAGGTGGGCGAGTCTGGGGAGGCCTAAAAGGCCCCACTGAAGCTCATGGCCTCTGTCCAGGGGGTGCTGGGCCACTAAAGAGCTGTGAACAGAGGGAGGGCCCGGGCAACATTGGTTCTGCCCTCTGTAGGCCACAGCGGCTTCGAAGCAGAAAATCTGAAGGCTGGTCTCAGTAGGGCTGGTGGGAGGGCAGGCCTGTCTACACTGCCATCTGTCCTGTCCCAGCCCCACCTGTCTGAGGGGACTGTCTTGTGGGAGCGGCCTGTGGGTGTCCCAAACACCAGCCTGAAGAGAGAGTTCCCCTCCCTATGCTCCCAGGGGCCAGTCACTCCCTGGACAGATGCAGGGTGGGGCTCCCTAAGACTCAGGCTCGCCCCTTCTCAGGAACGGGCAGGGAGGAGGTAACCATACAGCCTCTGACCCGACTCCTTTCCCCTCTACTCCTTACCAGTTGCCCTCCTGCCCCCTCTCCAAATGGGCTTGTAGCTCCAGGTCTGGAGGACAGCTGGATCCTGGGTATCCAGTACTGACTAGGTGTCCAGCCAGGGTGCATGGGGGCGGGCACCTCTGGTGGCAGCCTCTAGCAGGACTGCTCCAGCTGGCCGAGCAGGCTCTCTGGCCCTCAGCGCCCCGTCCTAAAGCCTCTGTGTCTACTTTG